CTAGTTCAGTTCTAGTTCAGTTCTAGTTCAGTTCTAGTTCACTTCTAGTTCAGTTCTAGTTCAGTTCTAGTTCAGTTCTTGTTTCAGTTCTTGTTCAGTTCTTGTTCAGTTCTAGTTCAGTTCTAGTTCAGTTCTAGTTCAGTTCTAGTTCAGTTCTAGTTCAGTTCTAGTTCAGTTCTAGTTCAGCTCTAGTTCAGTTCTAGTTCACTTCTAGTTCAGTTCTAGTTCAGTTCTAGTTCAGTTCTTGTTTCAGTTCTTGTTCAGTTCTGTTCAGTTCTAGTTCAGTTCTAGTTCAGTTCTAGTTCAGTTCTAGTTCAGTTCTAGTTCAGTTCTAGTTCAGTTCTAGTTCAGTTCTAGTTCAGTTCTAGTTCAGTTCTAGTTCAGTTCTAGTTCAGTTCTAGTTCAGTTCTAGTTCAGTTCTAGTTCAGTTCTAGTTCAGTTCTAGTTCAGTTCTAGTTCAGTTCTAGTTCAGTTCTAGTTCAGTTCTAGTTCAGTTCTAGTTCAGTTCTAGTTCAGTTCTAGTTCAGTTCTAGTTCAGTTCTAGTTCAGTTCTAGTTCAGTTCTAGTTCAGTTCTAGTTCAGTTCTAGTTCAGTTCTAGTTCAGTTCTAGTTCAGTTCTAGTTCAGTTCTAGTTCAGTTCTAGTTCAGTTCTAGTTCAGTTCTAGTTCAGTTCTAGTTCAGTTCTAGTTCAGTTCTAGTTCAGTTCTAGTTCAGTTCTAGTTCATTTCTAGTTCAGTTCTAGTTCAGTTCTACTATAATTCTAAATTAGTTCTAGTTTAGTTTTAAATTTCGAATATTTCTATATGTAATTTTTTGAAAAATTATTATTCTTAATAAAAAAAATTATATTTCTTTAAATTTTTGAAAAATTATAGAAAATTCATTTTTTTATTTTTGCTTTTACATTTTCGAAAAATTTTCTTTTAAATAATTTTCCAAAAATTTTAATTTTTTAAAAAATAAATTTTTTAGAATAATTTTCCAAAAATTTTAATTTTTTAAAAAATAAATTTTTTAGAATAATTTTCCAAAAATTTTAATTTTTTAAAAAATAAATTTTTTAGAATCTTCGAAATATTAAAATTTTTTTAGAAATTTTTCCAAAAATTATTATTTTTTTTAGAAAATTTCGAAATTTTCTATTTTTTTTTAAATATTTTTTTTTTAGAAAAATTCGAAAATTAAATAAAAAAGATAATTTTCTTTTTTTACCTAATTTTCTTATTAAAAATATTCGAAAATTTTTAAAAATATTTTTTTTGAAAATAATCGAAAAATTATGTTAATTTTTTAAAACATTGCAAAAATTTGTAAAAAAAATTTTTAAATTTCCATAAAGTTTTTTAAAAAGAGTTTTAAAAAATTATTCTTTCTGAGAAAATTTTTTAAAAATGAAAAACATTTAGCCTTTTACTCATGTTATACCAATATTGTTTGATATAATTTTTAAATTATTACAAAATTAAGCTGGAAATTGAGCAATTAAAGATTAATAATAATGAAAACCACAAGAAATAATACCGAAACCACAAAAAACAAAGGGGGTTGAGAAAAATATGTGCACTTCTTCTGGAGGTATTAGTAATAAAAACTTAATCATGTTATTTTGTCTATTATATTGGTCAAAGTCTTGATTAGGGAATGATAAATAAACCTTCATTGTTAAAACTGTTCCCTTAGCTCCTACAGATTGGAAGATACTTAATTTTCTACATTTTTTCAATTTTGCATCGAAAAATTTGGGAAATAATTTGAAACTTTTCATGACTTTGAGAGTAGGTCTATAACTATAAAAATTCTATTTAGAGAAAAATGAAATTAATCCTCACTGATCTTTGAAAATCTGAAAATAAATATAACTTGTAAATTAATGAAAAATTAAAAATAATTTACCAATAGCAATTAGTTCCTTTTTAAATGTAGAAATTTCATATAGATGTTGTAAGTTGTTCTTGTTGTTGTAGATAGTACCAAATTTGCTGTTGTAATAAGTTCTTTTTGTTGTTGTTATTCTTATTATACAATGAGTGTAAGGAGAACTTTGTGTTTGTTTTTAAACTATTGTTTTACGATTAAAATATGTCAATGCTGTAATAAACAACACCAACAGCGCGGAATTAAGACTACTCATCATTAAAGTATTTCCCGAACTACCAGCAACATGTTTATCGGTATTACCCACTGAACGGCAAATAGTTTCGTTCTTAATAAAACGGAACATGGACTCAACAATATTGGCAGGTGTTATCTCTTCACACAATTCCAATTTTTTAACAATGCAGGTTTCCAAACGTTCGATATCGTTACATTGTTTAGCTCCCATTATGAATTTGGGTAAAGTTTTAACATTTTCAATGCCCTCTTCAGGGAGATAACCGGAGAATGTGCTATTAATACAGTTCTGTATATCTTCCTTGTGTGCTTCCAAACATTCGGGTCCTTTTTCGGCAATGAACAGAGCAATCTGATCACCTCCCTTGTGGCAAACAAAACTCAAAAGACTGCGTATGATGCGCATGAAAACATCTTGATTTTCACGTTCCTCCTCATCAAGACAGGGTGTAAGTTTGGTATTGAAGGTTTCAATACATTTTAGAGCTTCGGGACGTTTTAAACAGTACTTGTTGAACACCACATCCAATTCTCCTGTGGGCGAGGCAAGATTTATTTCCTCTTGTATGGCGGTGAAATTAACAATATTATTAACACACTCGGCCAAAGTCAATGTGGAGCTTTCAATTTCAGCAAACGCTTTTTGACCCTCTTCTTCGCCGGCCACTTTAAGGCATTTATCCTTAACCAAAGTTTTGGCATCATCCAAAGTAAGATTGGTCTTGGGAAATTCATCGGGCAGTTGATTTTTCAAGTCATTTACATCAATATTGCTAAGGTCGAGGTCAGCTGCCTGCAATGCCAATAACAGGCTAAAAATTGTTCCTATTAACAATGCAGACTTCATGTTTGAGGTTTGTTGCAAAATTTCTTTTAAAACTTGTTATGTTTTGTTGTTTTTTTTTTCTTTTTTATTAACCTTAGTGACCTTTTAGTGTCTTTGCAAATCACTGTTCTTTTTTATTGTTGTTTTATTTCAAAATACCACTTGTTTTAATACTTTTATTTTATTATCACTTTATTTTATCACCGTATTTTTTAAATAATTTATTATTTACCGTAATAGCGTTTGCATTTGCTACTGGTTCGATCAAGTACTGTTGGTTGAGTAAATTTTTCAAACTGTTTTTGCCCTTAATTTTTTTGTATTCTGCTTTGTTTGCTTTTATATTGTTGTTTTCCTCCTTTTGTTTTTTTTTGTTACCGTAGTATGTGTGTTTTTGTTGCAATCTGTTTTGTTTTTCTTTTAATTTAATTACTCTTGCTTGTTAAAAAGCAAAATTTTTAATTGTTGTAATCGCTAATGTATTATTTATTATTTTTATTATACACTTTATTCGTAAAATAAGCTGATAATAATATTTTTAATTTTTCTGCTGTCTTTTTGTTTATGATTCAACAATTTTTTCTCATCAATGGTCAGAGAACTGTGCCGACTAACATTTACTGCAACGGCGCTTGATACTAAATAATTCAACGACGACATAAAATCATCTGTAAGCCGGCTAAGTTATCAACTATGCTTTTTAATTCTTCAACGGTAATGTATAAAAGCGAATGAGAAAGTGAAAAAAGCGAGATGGTGAAGAGAAAGAGTAAAAAAGCAGGAGGGAAGACAGCGGAAGAGAAAAACAAAAGCGGCGGGGCGAGGGGCGGGACAAGGACAGAAAGGAAGGAGCGGACGGCAGGAAAGGAAAGGGGCGGAAAGGGGCGAGCGAGCGAGCGAGCGAGCGAGCGAGCGAGCGAGCGAGCGAGCGAGCGAGCGAGCGAGCGAGCGAGCGAGCGAGCGAGCGAGCGAGCGAGCGAGCGAGCGAGCGAGCGAGCGAGCGAGCGAGCGAGCGAGCGAGCGAGCGAGCGAGCGAGCGAGCGAGCGAGCGAGCGAGCGAGCGAGCGAGGAGGAGCGAGCGAGCGAGCGAGCGAGCGAGCGAGCGAGCGAGCGAGCGAGCGAGCGAGCGAGCGAGCGAGCGAGCGAGCGAGCGAGCGAGCGAGCGAGCGAGCGAGCGAGCGAGCGAGCGAGCGAGCGAGCGAGCGAGCGAGCGAGCGAGCGAGCGAGCGAGCGAGCGAGCGAGCGAGCGAGCGAGCGAGCGAGCGAGCGAGCGAGCGAGCGAGCGAGCGAGCGAGCGAGCGCGTAGCTAGCGAGGCTAGCGAGCGAGCGAGGACGATGCTAGCGAGCGAGCTAGCGAGCGAGCGAGAGAAGAGAGAGAGAGATGAGAGAGAAGAGAGAGAGAGAGAAGAGAGAGAGAGAGAGAGAGAGAAGAGAGAGAGCGAGAGAGAGAGAGAAGAGAGAGAGAGAGAGAGAGAGAGAGAGAGAGAGAGAGAGAGAGAGAGAGAGAGAGAGAGAGAGAGAGAGAGAGATAGAGAGAGAGAGAGAGAGAGTAGAGAGAGAGAGAGAGAGAGAGAGAGAGAGAGAGAGAGAGAGAGAGAGAGAGAAGAGAGGAGAGCGAGAGCGAGCGAGGCGAGCGAGGCGAGCGAGGAGCGAGCGAGCGAGCGAGAGAGCGCGAGCGAGCGAGCGAGCGAGCGAGCGAGCGAGCGAGCGAGCGAGCGAGCGAGCGAGCGAGCGAGCGAGCGAGCGAGCGAGCGAGCGAGCGAGCGAGCGAGCGAGCGAGCGAGCGAGCGAGCGAGCGAGCGAGCGAGCGAGCGAGCGAGCGAGCGAGCGAGCGAGCGAGCGAGCGAGCGAGGAGCGAGCGAGCGAGCGAGCGAGCGAGCGAGCGAGCGAGCGAGGAGCGAGCGAGCGAGCGAGCGAGCGAGCAGGAGCGAGCGAGCGAGCGAGCGAGCGAGCGAGCGAGCGAGCGAGCGAGCGAGCGAGCGAGCGAGCGAGCGAGCGAGCGAGAGCGAGCGAGCGAGCGAGCGAGCGAGCGAGCGAGCGAGCGAGCGAGCGAGCGAGCGAGCGAGCGAGCGAGCGAGCGAGCGAGCGAGCGAGCGAGCGAGCGAGCGAGCGAGCGAGCGAGCGAGCGAGCGAGCGAGAGAGCGAGCGAGCGAGCGAGCGAGCGAGCGAGCGAGCGAGCGAGCGAGCGAGCGAGCGAGCGAGCGAGCGAGCGAGCGAGCGAGCGAGCGAGCGAGCAGCGAGCGAGCGAGCGAGCGAGCTAGCGAGCGAGCGAGCGAGCGAGCGAGCGAGCGAGCGAGCGAGCGAGCGATCTAGTTGATCATCTATCTATATATCTATCTATCATCTATCTATCTATTCTATTATATATCTATTTATCTATCTATCTATCTACTATCTATCTATCTATCTATCTATTCTCATTCCTACTATCTATCTCTCTATCTATCTGAATCTATTCTAATATAGGTATATATACCACACCCACTTTGTCACATCCTGCCCATTTTTTATTTCAATTTAAATGAATAATAATGAAGATGTTGCAATGTTTTGATACTGGAGGCATATCTTCCAGTAAAAATTAAAAGAATCTGTTTAAATTTGTTTATTTTAACAATTTTGTATTAACAAAATACTAAAAATGTATATATTTTTTTTGTTAATTTTTACAATCACAATTGGATATATAATAAAATTTATGAAAAATTGCAATAATAATATATTACATAATGCAAAATGATTAAATAAAATACAATAATATATGTATATATAAATGACAATGTTAAGTTTGTTAAAACATTTAAGTTAATACACGTTTTTTTTGGAAGCATTTTGTGTTATTAAAGATAATGAGAGAAAATTTTGCTAAATAAAAATTAATAAAATAAAAAAGTACATTTTTTTAACTTAGAATGTACTTGAGAAAATAAGTCTTTAGGTTAATGATTTCGATATAATTGTTTTTGCTAGATTTCTAAGGTGGTAACAAACAGACATATAATGTTATAAAAATTGGTTTAAACTATAACCAGGAATACATAAAATAAAATATTTTTTTGTTAGATTTTAAAAACTTTAAAATAGGTTATGTGCGTTTTCAGTAATGTTTGCATAAATTTCAAATTACTTTGAAATTTCCAACTAGATTATGATTTAAACAAATGCTAAAGAGTTGAATTATGTTTTTGTTTTCAATTTAAATGTTTTTGTTAGTCAATGTTGACAAGTCTTCTAAACTTCTCATGTTTTTCAGATTAAAAACCTATGACAGCATGAGTTTCTGTAGCTGATGGTTGCTTTATATCCACATACACCAGCAGAGAGGCCAATTCCAATTCTTCACTAAACTTATTACGTAATATAACACTGCGATAACCAGTGCGTATGGAATTCAAAGGATAGCAGGCCTGAGCTATGAAATGTGTCTCGGCAAACATATCCTCATCTTGTATCTCAAAACGCAAGAGAGCAAAATATGGATTACGTACAGAAAATTCACATGATTCATTCCATACTGGATTAAAACCATTTTCACATACTTTGGTACGATGTTTGACGCCGGTATCAAAAGTAGCTCCGTTAATTTCAACAACTACCAAGGGATTGTTGCATTTACCGGCCCGGAATAAATGTCTAGCTGCTATAATGCGTATGGTCACATGTTTCTCTTCCAAAGGGCTAATGCTTAAAGGACTATTGGGATCGAAACCTTCTGCCAACATAAATTTAGGTTTCAACAAATAACCACATTGGGCATTATCCCTAAATTTGGCCTGATTCAATTGCATGGCTTTGTCGCCGGTTTGATAGTTTAGTGCAATCATCTGGGAGCCCACATTCCAAAAGGGTACTGGATTAAAATTGGAAGAATCCAAACGTTGTCCCTTCGGATAAACACGTGAAATCTGGTGACGATGATAAGCCAAAAATAAGGCGGTATTTTGTTGTAGAAATTGTTTTTCGGCCTTTGTTTCGGGAAAACTGGACATTTCGTAAAATACCCAAGAGTGTTCACGAAAGGGTACACTACGAAAATAGATAATTAAATCAGACATTTCCTTGGCTACTCGCGCAGAACGTTCTTTTTTTCTTCTTTCGGTGGCCAATTGATTGGCTATTAAAGCAGCATCTTGTATGGCTTTAAACCACTCGTAGGCCTGTTCCTGATTATCAAAACCCACTACAAAAGAGTTTTGCATAGTGGGTGTTTGGATTTGTAATTTCAAAAGTATGCCCGGTTCAGTGGACTCGAATAAAGAGGCCACGGCACCATGTATTTCAATGGAATCGGTGCGTGAAAATTGTTCATTGTTGGTTTCATCATTAAAGCTGTTGTAATCATCCGAGCAAGAGTCTATAACCTAAAAAAAAAGATTTCATTAAACGTTTAAACAAAATTTCTTAAGATTTCCCTTTACCTTCACATAATTTGCTGGCAAATGTCTTTGTTTCATGCCTCCATAATCACCCTTCCACCACATGGTATTGTTTCTTTGTACATTTGTTATAATGGCATGTTTTGGGAAAGACAATTCATCCGGTTTGTCTGCCTTATAGCTATATAAAGCTTTACAAGTTACCGTATCCTCTAAACTAGGATCCATATAACTGGAGGCATCATTAAAGTCTCCCATGCCACCATTACCATGATGATCTAAAGAAGCCTGACAAGCCAATAATTTTTGTTTCAACAATTCCTGCGATACTGGATACATCAATTTGACCGTGCGGTATAAAGGATTACGCATATAATACTTGACCAAAGAAACCAACGATTCAAATTGTGTAGTATCGACCACAAATAAACGACCCTCTTGCATAATACGACAATGTTTAATCTTACGATTTATGGTAAATGAAATGACAAAAGCATTGGCATTCTGTACGGAGGGACGTACCAGAAATGAGCCCACATCGAGTTTAATTAAAACCTGTTCGGCTTGTTCTTTGGTGGTATGAGGATGAAACCATTCTTGAGATTCATGCTTTTTCGGTTGCGGTACAGGCTCTTTGAGGGTAATGGAAAATTCTGAACTACGCAACATGTTCTTGCGATAGTAAACAATTAGAGAATATAAAGAATCGAAAACAAAATTGTCCACTAGATAATATTTTGTGGCACCATTTTCATGTTTCAACTTGATGCGACAATGATTGGGACGATTGCGTCGCAAAAACGATAAACTGTAATCACCCACAAAAGTGGCTGATTCACGTACCAAAAAAGTGCCATCGCCCAGATGTTTGTAGGCTTCCAAAAGTTGATCGGCTTCGTGGCGGCCTCCTGGAAGGGAATGGAAATAAGGATAAGGATAACAACTTAATACTATAGTGATCAGTAAAATAAAACCTTAAAATAATTTCTAATCATTTTACTTTTTTTCCTCGATAGTATAGTGATCAGTAAATCCCACCCACGCTATAAAAACTATTACTTCAAATTACCTTCCAATTTTCCATGAAACCAGTTTTCACCAAAATGCAATTCATCATTAATCATACTATCCTTAACTTTAGGCATAATAGTGTTGGTAGACGATACCGATATTGCATTATCTTCATCATCACCAGTCGTTGAATTGGTATCTTCAGTTTCCGAGGAGTAAATTAACTCCTGTTGGGTTAAAACGAAATGATATTGATTCCAAGTCTTATCGACGGGATCTTTAAAGTATAAAAACCCTTCTTTTAAAACATTACGTATGCCATCATTATCTTCACCACCAGGACCCGAAATGGAACCACGACTACCAGTGGAAGACAAGAGAGTAGAGGAATTTGAAGAATTGGAAGACACTATACTGGAATTATCTTCATATTCGGGTAATTTTTTATGTTTTAAGATAATTTTTCTTCTTAGTTGATAGGGTGAAGGTAGTTGGGTTTCCGAGCGATCACAACGCTGTGTCAAAAGCATATCACCAAATACCTCTATTAAAGCCTGGGCCATATTACGTTGCTGTTCTAGGGAGCAGTTTTGTTCGATAGATAAAATCACCGGATACTCGGAGGTGACAAAGGCATGTTCCTTAATGGTTTTTATAACATCTTTGAACTTAATTTTTGAAGTCATGGTATGACCATGAAATATATGCGGTTGATTGTCGGGACCATTCCAACAGTCCAGTTCTATGCATCTACAACCCATGCGCAAGGCACGGGCGTAAGCCTCACAAGAAGATTCCGAGGAAAATTGGTCACCCGTTAGATAAGTATTGTGTGAGGAAGCTATCCAATAATTGGACATGGGCTGTTTCATATCCATGTATAGACGATCACATTGTTTATCCCACAAATCATTGTGTTTGGAAAATAGATAATCAAGAAACTCGCTAATGGTGAAATATGGTTCTTGCACCTCACGTTCTATATCTTGCAAAAATTCACGCATAAAATTGGACACAGCATTGTTATCTCTTGCAATAGCTTCCCTTTGCTCTTGTAGTAAAAATTTTTCAAATTCTCTTAAAGTAACAATTTCGCCATCTTTAGAATAGGCAAATTCTTTGCCGGGAGGACAATGGAAAAGTTCTTCTAGGAAATTAGAGGTTTGTATAAGTTTCCTGTACAAACGGGCAAAGTCATCAAAACGTAAATCATTTTTACGCCTTACATCCTCCTCGCTAAAGCAATCCATTAGCTTGGAGGTGGTCATTTTGCAGCTGATACTGCTGAGGAACGTCTTAAAATCCTTAACAGTAACTTGGCCTCCCTCCTTGGAAGACTGGTTGCTCGAGTTTTCTATGGCATAATACTCACGTCTAAGCCAGCGTTCTACTTGTAAAGGATAGGAAGCATTTACAGTGTCTTGTACCATATAGCGCAAACCTTTAACCCAATTTTCTGCTTCCTGTTCCGATAAAGCTACCACAGAGAAAGTTTTCAGTTTAAAAGAACTGCCATGGAGGACAACAAAACATTTGCCAGCTTCAAAACGTTTGGCTTCATCGGGACAGTTGCGAAATTCTTTGGAATTTTTTCCCACACGTATTTCCTTGATTTCTCTTAGCTCCAAAGAACCTTCATGTTCTATGCGGGTGTTGGCTGCAACCGGTGACCACAGCAACTGACGAGTTTCTCTTACCAATATCAGACGCCTCTGTTCGGGCCGCCTTTGTTTACTATACAGTTTCGTAACAATGGTACCTCTTTCCAGCATGCAAATAATCTGTTCCATTTCACCCAAAGTGGGCACACTTAAAGAACTAAAACAGTTCATCATTTTGTGCAAATTTTCTCCAAATCAGGGAAATAGCGCAAGAATACTTTCTATTAAAAATAGTTTTTGTTGTTGGTCTGCTGGCTGCCTATTTCTTTTGTTTTTTTTTTATCTAGAATCTTTATCAGTGTGTTCAAAATATGGTAATCATTTGATTTCCTGTCCAATCTGTTGATCACTGCTGTGTTGTTGTTCTTGCTGTTATTATACAAAGTACAACAATAATTATCGTTGTTTTGGTTTGTTGGTATTGTTGTTGTTTCTGCTTGTCTCTATATTTTGTATTGAATTTGTTGTTGTTTTAGCTGCTGTCTTAACGCCTTTTTAATAGAAAACATATTTTTATGTTTTTTAATGATTTAGCTTAGTTTTTTTGTTAAAGATTCTTATTTAATTAAGTTTTTGTATAAATTGAAACATTTTTTGTGTAAAATTTTTAAGGCACTTTTGGTAAAAATTAACAAAAAATTCAATTAAACTATTAACAAACACAACAATTTTCTTGTAAAATTTCTTGCAGCAGATATTGCTTCTTCTTATTGGCGCTGACAATCACTGTGTGATAATAGCATGTCCAAATAGTGTAAAATAGAGAAGTCAAGTCATTGTGATTGCACAATATTTAATTTCAACGTACGATTTCATAAGGTTTATGCAAAAATATGGGGGAATTTCGTAAGATAGGAAAGTTTGACTGAAGTTTGAATTATTTACTAAACCGTTATTATTTTGCATTGCAGATATGGATACGGTACTGTATAGCAAACAGTAGATACTATATAGGTAAGTCTACTTCAAGTTAAAAACTATAGTTGACTATGATCTAATCTTTGGTCACTAGATTGAAGTGTAGTGTATTCTTCTCTAAGGATTAGATTCTTAACTTTAGGCTATAGTCTTATCTGAAGCCCAGACTACATTATTTTTTGTAATTTTTTTTTATGCCCTTTTTATGGTAAAAACTGTAATCTAGGTATTCTATGACCACACAGACTATTCAATAGGCCAGGCATAAAGTAAAAAAAATAGACTATTCTATAGTACACATTATGTACTAAGGTCCAGGCTATAGATTATTCTATAGTACAAACTATACTATAGTCCAGACTATAGGCTATTCTGTACTTCAAACTATACACTATTCTAAAGTACAAACTATAGACTATTCTACTATTGTACAGATAAGAGATTATTTTACAGTCCATACTAACTGGAGACTATTCTATAGTACTAACTTTAGACTATTCTACAGTCCAGACTATAGACAACAGTCCATATTATATATAATTCTATGACCTAGACTATTCTATAGTCCAGACTGTAGACTAAAATGTAGACTATAGAATATTCTATAGTACAAATTATACTACAGTCCAGACCACAGATTATTATATAATCCAGAAAATTGTCTATTATAAAGCCATTTTTTTCAAAAGGATAGCTTGTTGCAACCAATCTAAGATGAAAAACCACCAATTACAAAACTTTTTTAAATATTTATTTTTAAATATGTATGTATATAAAATTTGTATATATTGATTGTATATAAAAATCACTAAGTACATAAGTTACAAAAAAAAATTTGTATTGCATTTCAAAATTTACTCTACGAAGAAGTAACAAAGTCATAAAACAAACTCTAATCTACATGATAGTAACATTCATGAGCAAAAGTGTCACAATCATCATAAGGTTTGACCATCACTTCAGTTGTATCCAAATCTTCTTTACGCAAACAAGCACATCTAAAATTATCACTACCGACTTGATATAGTTTGCGAGGATAGCCCACCCAATCACGTTCCTTGCCACCACTATTGAGAGTGCACCAAACATGAGAACCCTTCTCCCGGGACCATTCAATATTACAATCGGGATATTTAAGTCTTAATTCTTCTCCAGCAGCTTTGGCATCTTGAGCTTGCTCTAATAAAGCTAAATATTTATGATAATATTTAGTGGGCTCTCCGTTGGCATCATAAAAACGTCCTATGAGTTTGCCCTTGTACACATAATCGCTATCATAGAATTTTTGCCAATTATCTAGACTTAGCAGCTCCGAAGGCTTAAGCGTTAAGACATCATCAGCTTCTTCCTCCACAAATGTTTCAAATTCTCCAGTAATAAAAGAAACCGAAGCATCTCGTCCAGCAAAATAGCTATACGAACAACCGGGTCCATAATGTTTGGCGCCTTTAGAGACGTCATAAACTCGGCCCAATAGAGACAGGTAAATTGGTGTGTCATTTTCACCATTAAACTTGGCCAATTCCGCTTTAGTGAAGAGTTTAACATCTTGTAGTTTTTCGGCACTTTCATAATGCACTTCTACATTATCACTGCCAAATGGCAAAATATATGTTTTTAACATATCCAAAATTTCCGGATAATAGACACCAGCCAAAACGGCCACTATGATGAGCAGAAACTGTAGTTTAAAAATATGTCTTATAAATGCTATCATCGTTGTTTTTGGTTTTCTTTTTCTTAATAAGACACTTTATTTAAACGAATTTTATTGATTTTTTGAATACTAATAAAATATAATAATAAAACTCAACTAGAAAGTAAATAAACAAATAGACAAATGGATATTTTTGGAAACAACAACAAAAACAAGCCACAGCTGTTTTTGCTGTATCACGTCAGCAGCTGGCTAAAAACAGAGTTGTTTTTATCCCCCATACACGGTGAGAAATTAAATGGTTAAATTTTATAAAGCCAACAATAATATTTGTAAGTTATGGCGCCAAAACGATATTTGTTTACGAATAATAAGAGCAAAAGATGTAATTGATTGCATTCAACAGTTGTGAAATTGATTTCTTATAGATACGTTGTACAATATTTAATTAAAGTGGTTTTTTTTAGGTAAAAATTAAGTGTTTTTTAAATAAATCAATGTATTTTGTTTAAACTAAAGTGTTTGAATTTAAATCATGTGAAGGATAGATTGAGTTTGATATTAATTGCATTATGAAGGTGGATTTCTGAAAATAAAGGTAAATTTTTATTTTTAAATATAATTAAGTGATTTTGAACATTTCTGAAGAGTTTATCAATAAATTAATGAAATTTATCTTTAACTTATAACATAAATAACAATAAATTAATGAAATTTATTTTATAAAAAATCTAACGTTTTGTTGAATCTTTATGAGTCTTTATGATTACAATTGTCAGTTCACATCTGATATTCATAACGAACGGTAGTCTCAGCAACATAAGCGCACAGCAAATCTTTATACATATTAAAAATAAAGATAACACTATTGTTTTTGTAATTGCCTACACACGTTCTTATTGAACTCACACGTGATAGTCAATTTTTTAAATAGAAACTAATAACACACCACCTAAAATGGCCCCAGGGGCCAAAAAATCTAGGAACAAAAAGCGCAATGCTAAGATAAAGTCAACTAAACAACCAGGGCATGTTTATCCAAATATTCCATCTTCGTTGGGAAATAGATTTAGTATCCTGGGGGGTCAAAATGATATGGATGTAGCTCCAGCAACAAATATAAATGAAGTAAAGGAACGTAAGCCACCACCTATTGTAGTGGAAATCAATGTATCATTTTCCGAAATCCAAAATTTATTAGGTAAGGAATGCTTTTTTAAGCGTACTTCCATTGGTACCAAAGTATTCACTCCAAACCAGGCAGTATATAAAAGCTGTATGCAAACACTAAAGGAAAATCAAATTGAGTTCCATTCGTATAATTCGAAAGATAATAGGTTATACACCACCTTCTTGCATGGCTTACCTCGTATCAAAGCAGACGATATCAAATCCGAATTGGAGAGCTACAACTTGTCACCATCTGCTGTAACTGAAATTATTACCAAATTTAGCTCGGATAATAATGCAGTGTATAAGGTACAATTTATTCGAAAAAACTTTAATCCAAGTTCTTTAAAAAATGTGAGAACTATAGCTAACGTAATTATTACATGGAAAAAATACAGACCGAAGAAAAATGATAGACCAACACAATGTTGGAACTGTCTAATGTATGGTCATGGTGGAGAGCATTGTCATCGAGGTGCCGCTTGCATGATATGCGCAGAAAACCATCATACAAATGTTTGTCCATTTAATACAAATGAAAAGCGACCAGCTGTTTTTACTTGTTTTAATTGTAAAAAACATGGAAAAGAAAGAACTGATCATGCAGCAAACGACATAAATTGTCCACTACGTTCTCTTTATCTGGAGACGAGGGCAAGAGTAACAACTAAATCTCATAATAACAACAGAGTACAGCAAAATCTAAATACATTCCAATTCAACGGTGTGGAATTTCCCAACTTAGTCAATACAACAAGCCGCAACAATAATATAATGAATGCCAACGTTTCATACGCAAACCAGCTGAAAAATAATTCCGATCTGTTTAGTGTCGATGAACTTTTCGATATCTTTACAACTGCTATGGAAGATTTACAAAGATGTACATCAAAAGTGCAACAAATTAAAGTTGTTATGTCTATGGTAAAGTATGCTCATGGCTTACACTAATTCAAACGAATTTAAAATGCTTCATTTGAATGTTAATGGAATTTCATACTTTTCAAAATTAAAACAACTAGAAATATTGCTCGAAAGGGAAAATATAAAAATTGCTTCATTAAACGAAACATTTTTAACGGAAGGCATCAAACCCTTTTTAAAAAATTACTTTTTCTACAGAAACGACAGGTCAGATGGAAGAGGAGGAGGCGTCGCTTTACTGGTTCATAAATCTATAAAACATAAAAACTGCTTCACATTTAACACTAGATCTATTGAAAATATATCTATAGAAATAACAATAAATAATAGACCGATTGTAATAACTTCTGCATACTCGCCCCGTTATAACAATAATTTTTCTAATGATATTCATAAACTTACACCTTCAGCCAATGAATACATAGTTTTAGGAGACCTAAATGCTAAACATTCCGCCTGGAATTGTGCTACAAGTAACACAGCAGGTGTCATACTCAACAACATACAACAAACTTGTAACTTTTTCGTATACTACCCAAATAGTCCTACATTATACCCACATCAACGTAATAGACAACCGTCTACGGTCGATGTGGTAATTAGTAATTCCGCACTAAATATAGAAGTAAGAACGTTGGGTTACGAAATTCCTTCAGATCATCGTCCCATTATTTGCACCATAAAACGATCGAAGGCTTCAATTGCTGATATCAGTTACTATGATCATAGATTAACGAACTGGAACATATTTAAGAATTTTGTTGACAATCATATAGTATTCAATATAGATGATTACAATTCAAAGCAAACAATTGATAATGAAATTAACAAATTAACCAACATTATTTTAGAAGCAAGAAATGCATCAACTCCCAAAGTTACTCAACGAAACTATTTTGAATTGCCTGAGAACATCTGTAAATATATAAAACTAAGAAGAAGCTACAAAAGAAAAAGTCAAAGAACTTCAAATGCAGTTGAGAAACAATTTTACAATCAATATGCAAACCTTCTTACTAAAATGATAGATAAAAACATCAAAGCAGAACGCAATAATAAATGGTGTCAATTACTATCTAATTTAAAACCAGGAGATACAACTTTTTGGAGAATTAGCAGAAGTCTGCGAGAAAAAGATAAACACCAAATTCCATATATCAACTATGGAAATACCAAAATAACAGATGATAAGGAGAAAGCTGAAATTTTAGCAAATACATTTGTCCAAGCAAATAATCTTACCTCAAGCTACAAACATTCAATGGATAAATTCATTAACGCAAGAGTTAATGATTTTAGGAAGGAGAACCCATCTTCTGATTCCGCCATTTTTACAAATCTTGGAGAAATAACAAGTGTTGTGTCATCTTTAAAAGCCTCCAAATCACCTGGGTTTGACAATATCACTAATATACTTTTAAAGAACCTGCCAATTAAAGCGTTGAAATTGTTAGTCATTCTCTTTAACAGTTGCATTAAACTTAATTATTTTCCAAAAAATTTTAAAAACGCTAAGGTTATAGCTATAAATAAACCAAATAAGCCTAAAAACAGCCCTAACAGCTACAGACCTATTAGCTTGCTAAGCAATCTAGGTAAAATATTGGAAAAAATTTTGCATCATCGCCTAATTGAATTTGTATATTCAAATTCCATTGTTGCTAAAGAACAATTTGGGTTCAAAAAAGATCATAGCACTACTCACCAAATAAAAAGGATAAAAAATAAAATAATTGCTAATAAGAACAACAAAATATCAACGGGCCTTATCCTGCTAGATATAGAAAAGGCGTTTGATACTGTTTGGCATAACGGCCTTTTATATAAACTTTTACTTGCTAATATCCCGAAATATCTTAGTAAACTTATTGCTGATTTTATGGATGATAGAATTTTCAAAGTTGCAATTAAAAATACGACCTCATCTGACAAACATATTTCCACTGGGCTGCCACAAGGATCTGTTTTGTCACCACTCCTGTATTCAATATATACATCCGACTTTAAAGTTCCGAAGTACATGCAAACTGCATATTACGCAGATGATACCGCTTTAATTACTTCAAGCAAGAGTACCGGTGCTCTCTTAAAGAAAATGGAAAAAGGACTTGTAAGTTGCAACAAATATTTTCACAAATGGAAAATCAAAATAAATCCAATTAAGACTCAGGCTATAATTTTCCCATTCAACAAATCCCCTAAAAGATTGGCCCGGCGTCCCTTGTTAATAGGAAATAATGTTATAAATATACAAAACGATGTAAAATATTTGGGGGTTACGTTGGACAAAAAACTTATATTCAAACGGCATATCAACGAAATCTGCAAAAAAGCAATTAAAGCTTTTAGAGCCCTATGGCCATTGCTAAATAAACGTTCATGTCTGAACATGAAAAATAAGAATCTTCTATTTAAAAGTGTTATAAGACCCATATTAACATATGCATGTCCTGTATGGAGTACTGCAGCTAACTGTCACTTAAATCGTTTGCAAGTTATTCAAAACAAATGTCTCAAAATGATATATAACAAACACTGGAGATACCCAACATACCTTATCCATGAAGAAACTGGTTACGAAAGAATTACTGATTATATAAAAAGAATTAAAAACAAGTTTTATGAAAAAATTGAAAGTTCTTCTTATCCCATGATTAGTGTTTATAAACCGGTTAACCGGTTAACCGAAAAACCGGTTTTTATTGCATATTTCGGTTTTTCGCAAACCGGTTTTTTAAAACATTGGTTTTCGGTTAACCGGGTTATCCGGTTTTTAAGTCTCGGTTAACCGGTTTCAAAAAAATCTAATTTTTAGTACAAAATTTTATGTTTTCTTTGATATTTTATTGTGATTTTTAAAAATTTTGGATAGATAATTTTAAACATTATTTTCCGTTTGTGCATATGAAAACAGACCTAAGATTGTTAAACAAATATTATCTATATACTTACTTGTTTACTGCGTGAGTATAGTAAAAATCGAGAAGTTTCTCAAACGTTCTCAAAACGGACTTTATTTATCGAAACATAAGGATTGTTGTTGCCGTCCGAGAACTTATGCTGCTGGGGTTTTTCACAAACTGTAATGGCGCTTAGGTTGATTGACAGGAAGTCAGAATGACACCTGTCAATATTCCTAAGCGTCATTCACAGTAATTTGAACAACCACAGGCGTAGTGAGTGGAGGGAGGTCACTGTCTATGTCGAGACAATCGTCGCGAACCTGAACACTGTTTATAGTTCTGGGCATAATTTTTGCTATTGATATATATGGTCAATTTATCCCTCGTATGGCAACTTCCATATACCTAACGAATCAATAATATCTTCAGATCTATATAAGTTTGTTTTCTTATGATATATTAATGTACATATCTATACTAAAAAATGCAAATATCTTATTAAGTAATTTATAATATTTCGCAAAATGACATTTTTCAACTATATATTATAATATTTTAAAGATTTCCAAACATTTCGGTTAACCGGTTTAACCGGTTTTTTATACTCGGTTAACCGACAAACCGGTTTTTTAGAAATGGTTAATTTTCGGTTAACCGAAAAACCGGTTTTTCCAAAAGTCGGTTTTTTATAAACACTACCCATGATAAGAGAATGTGTAGAAATTATACAAAGTTAAATGCAAATCACCAAATCGAAAATGATATGTTTATACGGTGCTATTACAACTAATAGCACAACTTTAAACCTATATAATTTTTCTTCATATTTGAATTCATTTAAAATCATATAAAGGTTTTTCCCATTTTACCTTAGAAAAGATTATAATGTAAAAAAAAAATATTGTAAATATCACTAGTCAATTCATTATTTGTTGTAATATCTATATAAAGATAAGATCTCATTTGTAAATATTTAGTAAGTAAAGATGTAAATAAAGGAAGATTATACAATTCAATTCAATTATGATTACAATTGACAATTAAATAAGGTTATGTACAACAACAAGACCGGAAATAGTCTTCCAAATTACATAAATGTTATAAATTAACATTTAAATTGAATTAATTATTTTGAGTAATTAAATATTTACTTGTGAGTTTTTTGTCAAAATTAAAGAAACAATTTTGAATTTTTCAAATTTGTTATGTTGCATTTCTAGAAAGATAAAAATATATATTTTTAAAGGATTTTTTAATAAAATATATACAAAATGGAGAAAAACATCCCAAAGGTAAGTTTTTTAATAAAATAAAACTGAAATCAATAATATTTACCTTTTTTTTTCCATGCAGAGTCATGATGAATCTTGTATTTCCACTACGGGTACACCCACATCCCAACATTATTCTGATTCTTTGGATAATAATCTGAAATATATAAAGTAAGTTTTTATTATTAAGCTTATGAAATAGAATTTATATAAAAATACAATTTTTAGTTTAAATTTCGTAGATAATTCAGAGTCTTCGAGCCCGGCGAAAGAAGCTTTCTTGGAGTATCAAAAACTACAAAATTGTAAGTGTAAGTTTGTAGAACTTTAGTATAACATTTAAAGATTATTTGAGAATGTTTTCAGCCAGCCAGGAACAAACTAGATTTGAGAAGAAACCATTACCCAATAAAATATTGCCCACCGCTTTGCCTTTAAATGGTTTGGATAAGAACAAAAGTGAAAAGCAAATTATTCCCCTGCAGGAAAAAACTCTATTAGAAATGGGCTATAAAGCCAATGAGGTTGAAGGCTGGGAAAATATTGTACAACCGCCCAAAGAAGATCTTTATAAACTGTTAAAGAATATGATAGAGAAACATATCAAACCTAGTGTTCAGATACGCATTGGTGAGGTTACCTTCAATTGTCACATGATGGTGTTGCAGTGTTATTCAGATTTTTTCATGGAATGGAATAATGAAATTTTAATACAATTACCGGAGGAAAAAATAACTCCTGCTGCCTTTATGATGGTCTACGATTGGATGTTGTCCTCACAGCCCTTAGTACAGAGAGAAGGCATATTGGAACTGTTTAATGCGGCCAATTTCTTGCGTATTAAAGAATTGATTAATCAATGTTGGTTATGTCTGGATGATGATGTACGTTTTAGGGAAGATACTGCCTTTTTGTTGTATTTGGAGGCTCGTAATTATGGCTTGGAAAGTTTGGAAGAATTAATGCTAATGCGCATTTGTAAATTCTTCTTAACGCTGGTGGCATCCAAAGAATTTTTAACTTTAAACTGCAAAGAGGTTGTTAAACTATTAAGTTCAAATACTATAGGGGTAAATTCTGAAATAGAGGTGAGTTTTTTATGTAAAAAGAAGAAGAAAGGGGTTAAGTTAATTTCACTAATTTTAGATATTCATGTCCGTGGTAAGATGGTTAAGTTACAATTGGCAGGAGCGTGAAAAATATACATTAGAGTTAATAAAATGTGTGCGTTTCAGTTTAATACCTCCCTGGTTTTTGGTAACCCTAAATAAAAACACCGATTGCCTTGAAATAGATCGTATAATAGAAAATCCTGAAGTTAAGGAAATGATAAGTGATGCCGTAACGTAAGTTTTCCTGAAAAAAAAAACTTCCGAATTGCTATTAATTTTTTCCCCAAATACCTAGTTACACTACCACCCAATTTTATTATGGTGAAAATCGTGAAGAATTCTTACACTTCCTAGAGCGTTATGAATTAACGGAGCCCATGCAACGTCAATGGGTTTTCGATAAGGAGTGTAACTATCATCGTCGTCTCGACTGCCCGAATATGGAGTATGTTACTTATAAATCATTTTTGGAATATTTGGAAATGATTCGCTCTATAGGCAAAGATTATTGGCGTTCTTTGGAAATGGATAAGGGTGCGGAGAAGTCTATAAATTGGTTTTTACGTACTAATTGTCGTAAAACAACGGAACCAAATCTAGTATGTTGAAATTGTTAAAAATGTTTTTTTTTGTAAATTTAAAAACAAAATTATTTGTGAAAATAAATATTTGTTTTTTTAATTATATTTTCTAACAGAAGTTGTTTAATTTTCCAGGCCACTGTATTTACTAAAAAGAGTCGTGACCAGGGTATACAATGTGCAAGTAGTTTGAAATATCGTAAAAGTAAAGGTACAAACATATGTATATATTTGAATACATCTTGAATAAGATTAAGTACATATAGCTGTTTTAAACTCGAGGCTATAGACTATGCTTTAGTCGTGATCTATTCTCTAGTCGTGACTTCAGACTATTCCATAGTAGAGACTATACACCTTGTTATAGAAGTTATAGAAAATTCTGTAGTCAAGACTAAAGTAGACTGTGGTTGACACTATTATGTAGTCGACACTGTAGACTATTCAATAGCAGAGACTGTAGACTATGCTATAGTCGAGGCAATAGACTATTCTATAGTCGTAACTATAAACTAATCTATAGTCGAGGATATAGACTACTCCATAGGAGATGCTGTGGACTATTCTATAGTAAAAACTATTGACTATTCTGTAGTCGAGATTATAGATTATTATATATTTCATTCTATACACTATTCTATAGTCGATTACAAACTATTCTATAGTCGAGACTATAGTTTATGCTATAGTATAGTCAACACAATATATAGTTCTTTAGTCGACACTATAGACTATTCTGTAGTCGACACTATGGACTATTAAATAGTCCTTTTTTGCTTTGATCTCCTTATGTATTATATTCTAGTTACAGATTCATATGTATGCATATAATCAATTGTTTCTATAATCTTCTTTTATTTAACAATTTCTGACCCAATAAATAACATAATACTCTACATTATTAAATATGTATTTACTTCACATTTCATTCTTTTTTCCTTCTAGAATGCAATAAAACAAATTCAATTCACAACAATGTTAGTGGTAAAAAATCTGTACATCTCACGCCTCGGGGACATCCAAGATATGTGCCAGCAACAATAACGACAATAACAACAAGCAACCAAACAATAAATTCTATAAATAATGATACTACAACGGAAGCGGAAACAACGGTAGATTTTAAATATCCCGAAGAATCAGATGATGTTGAACAGAATTTTCATGTAAATGTAGAAAAACAACCGGAAACTATATTATATGATGACAATAATCAACAACAGCAGCAACAACTAAAAACGGAAGTAAATGAACAACAACAGCAACAACAACAATACATCATCGATAGTTATCCCTTAAAGCATAAATTCTCCAATAACATAGATAATGATAAAAAAATACATCACCAGCAACATCAATTGCTGTCAAAACCATATCACATAATAAAAAAACAACAAGAAAAAACACTCTTGTTGCAACACAATAAAACAAACAACACTCACAACAACAAATGTTGTACAGTGATTTATAAACGTGATGACGACGATGACAACGATAGTTTAATGGCTGATGTTAACGGTGATTGTTACACAGGACAGCAGGAGGAACATCAACAGCAGCAACAACAAAAACAATGTATTATTGGTGATAATCATGATGTCGAAAACATAAAACATAATATTATTGTTGGTGGCTGCAATGTTAATGAAGATTTACTGGATTCTGGAGAAAAACAAACAACTTCTACTTTCATTGATGATTTGACAAGGTAAGGGGAAGCAAAAGGGTGGGCTAGTTAATTGTTTCTCTATTTCTAAAGATATTCTTGTTAATAGTAAGAGATTCTATATGGCAGCTAAAGTAGGTCATGTCAAATAATTATTAGAATATTTTTTGTTCCAATGTATGAAAGTGAACTAATTAGACTATAGACTAATCTACGGTCAAGACTATAGACTAATTTGTAGTCAAGACAATAGACTAATATATAGTCAAGACTATAGACTAATCTGTAGTCAAGACTATAGACTAATCTATAGTCAAGACTTTAGACTAATCTATAGTCAAGACTATAGACTGATCTATAATAAAGACTTTAGACTAATCTATAGTCAAGACAATAGACTGATCTATAGTCAAGACTATAGACTAATCTATAGTCAAGACTATAGACTAATCTATAGTAAAGACTATAGACTAATCTATAGCCAAGACTATTGAATAATTCATAGTCAAGACTATAGACAAATCAATAGACAAGACTATAGACTAATCTCTAGTCAAGACTATAGACTAATCTATAGTCAAGACTATAGACAAATCTACAGTCAAGACTACAGACAAATCTACAGTCAAGACTATAGATTAATCCTTAGTGAAGACTATAGACTAATCTATAGTCAAGACTATAGACTAATCTATAGTCAAGACTATAGACTAATCTGTAGTCAAAACTATAGACTAATCTATAGTCAAGACTATAGACTAATCTATAGTCAAGACTATAGACTAATCTATAGTCAAGACTATAGACTAATCTGTAGTCAAAACTATAGACTAATCTATAGTCAAGACTATAGACCAGGGGTCGGCAAACTACGGCTCGCGAGCCAAAGGCGGCTCTTTGGATGTGGAGCTGTGGCTCTTTAGTTTCATAAACACTTTCTTATTTATAAAAAACCATTTATATATTTTAAAAAATTTCGGAATTGATTAACGAGCAGTGTTTGTTAAAATTAACAAAACAATTCGCAAACGTTTCTACAATATACACAACTTTTCATCTTTGTTTAATCGTTCTGTACGTAAGCAAAATAAAGCAAATTCTTTTTGGGCGAGAAAGAACGAAAACAAAACAATTAGTTTTCAGTAATTTCCTTGCTTTTATTTACCCTTGTGCCATTTGGAATTGGTACTGGATCTCTAGAAATGCAGTTGATCAATTTAAAAAGTAAAGCTTTGGTTGTGGAAAATTGTCAAAGTTTAAAAGCCAGTTGATAGAGTTAGGTAAAAAGCCAACTAGCAGTTGAAAGTTTAGAGTCGTTTGTGAAACTTTAAACAACAAGTTGTGATCCAAAGTTTTTAAAGCCATATAAACCTCTCTCTCCCACTGAATTCCATGTATAAGGTAATATTGTAAGAAAATGTTTAATTCTTTAAATGTTTAATTGAAAAGTTCACTATAAACGAAAGGGGCATCATGAGCGCTCCTACGAAGATAAGATGTAAATCATGATCATACATTCCGAAATTTTCATGTTTTTCGAATTAAAAGATATTTTTTGGAAATTGAAAGTATCGTAATTAATTAATTAATAATGTGGAGAGTTTGGATACAGTTAAATACTAAAAACTTGAAAACCTCAATATTTAAATATTGCATGTTTTAGAAACGTTTTACAGTGATCTATAAAAGATTTATATATTTTCGACATAAAATGTTTGGCTATAAGTAAGGGACCAGAAAGCGTATTATGGACCCATCCTTACAGAATTTGGTACAGATATTTTTGTTTCTATAAATTTGTTTATGACGAATTTCACAACTATGCTGGTATTATTAAGCCTGTTATGAGCGTTAAAGTCATTTTCTGAAGAAGAATTTGCGGGTATGCGGGTATGGTTAACAATGAACTGATCATTAAAAAATTTTGGAGAGAGAGATTTTTCTTCCTATAATACTTGTTAGAGTCATTTTCCGAAGTAGACCTCATAAAAGGGGATTGGTCAATTATGTTCGGATCGTCTTAAAATTTGGTCGAGAAATTTTGTTCTTATAAAACTTGTTTGTGTCAAATTTCGTCGCTTACTGCTATTATTAGGTCACTTAAGAGCGATAGGGTAATTTTCTAGTGGTGATCTTATATGGTGGAAGGATCAATTATGAGTCGATAGTCACCAAATTTGGTGAAGAGATTTTTGTTCTTGTTTGTGTTGAATTTAGTCATAATACAGCAATTATTAAGACAGTTATGAGCGTTAAAATCAAATTTGGAAGATAGATATTGGTTCTTATAAAAGTTGTTTATTTTGAATTTCGTTGAAATATTGCTACTGTTAAGTCAATTATGATCGTTAGTCATTTTCTGAAAAGGACCTTATATTGGGATTGGTAAAATATGGTTCGATGTCCGCAATACATCACAATATAATTTTTGTATGCATAAAAAAACTTTATCTTGATTGCCGCCAAATTAATATATTACTTTATGCTGTATTATCTGCGTCATCAATTTTCGTTATTTTTACATTTCCTGATATGCTTCGAAAAGCCTTTTAAATTATAGCACTGTCGCCCTACTCTAATAAACTTCTATATTTTTATAAAACGAGTCTTTAAAAAATGCATTCGAATGACACATAAAAATTCAAAAAGTATTTGTAGTCAAAAATCTATAAGAAAGATTCCTTGCATAATGTCCTGTAGATAATTAAATCAAAAATTATGTTTTTGAAGTGAATTAAAAAAATATTTCGTCATATGAAATCCAAAAAGCCCTAAGTTACATTGAACAAATTTTTTAGGAGAAGCAAAAAACCGTTTTGCTTACGGAGATATGAAACATACGCCCTTGAGAATTTGTATTTTTCTTAAACCCAAAAGAGCGTAAGTTACATTAAAAATAGTAAGTTTTAACATTTTCAACTAAATTCAAATCTGGTTTTGTTGGTCAAATAGGCCGAAAAAATCATAAAGCTTCTTTGTTTTTATAAAGATTTTCGGAAATTGGAATTTTTCTTTGAAAAAATTCTAAAACTGTTAAAATAATCTCTATATTACAAGGATTCGCTAAAAGTGCCATTTTTGTTTAAATTGACTTTTAACATTTCACAGTTTCGAAGTTAAAAATTTAAAAGAATTTTAAAATTTTCATGAATTTTAAGGTAATTTTAGAACATAACCTTTTAAAATTTTCTTTGATAGGGACGCTGATTTTAATTGTGGGAGTGTAAAATTTAGCAGGAACATATATTTTGATACGGTGCGTTATAATCAATCAAAAAGTCGATTTTGATTTTTTTGTAACTTTGGATTTCATATGACGATTTGTAAAGTTTTAATAAACAAAAATTTTGTGGCTCTTTTAAAACACATGTTTTGTAAACTGTAAATTTTGGCTCTTCCAACTCAAAAGTTTGCCGACCCCTGCTATAGACTAATCTATAGTCAAGACTATAGACTAATCTATAGTCAAGACTATAGACTAATCTATAGTCAAGACTTAAGACTAATCTATAGTCAAGACTATAGACAAATCAATAGACAAGACTATAGACTAATCTCTAGTCCAGACTATAGACTAATCTATAGTCAAGACTATAGACAAATCTACAGTCAAGACTATAGACAAATCTACAGTCAAGACTGTAGACAAAGCTACAGTCAAGACTATAGACTAATCTATAGTCAAGACTATAGGTAAATCTATAGACAAGACTTTAGACTAATCTATAGTCAAGACTATAGACAAATCTACAGTCAAGACTATAGACTAATCTATAGTGAAGACTATAGGTAAATCTATAGACAAGACTTTAAACTAATCTATAGTCAAGACTATAGACAAATCTACAGTCAAGACTATAGACTAATCTATAGTCAAGACTGTAGACTAATCTATGGTCAAGACTAAAGACTAATCTATAGTCAAGACTATAGACTAATCTATAGTCAAGACTATAGACAAATCTATAGACAAGACTATAGTCTAATCTATAGTCAAGACTATAGACTAATCTATAGTCAAGACTATAAACTAATCTATAGTCAGGACTATAGACTAATCTATAGTCAGGACTATAGACTAATCTATAGTCAGGACTATAGACTAATCTATAGTCAAGACTATAGAATAATCCATAGTCAAGACTATAGACTAATCTATAGTCAAGACAAATCTATAGTCAAGACAAATCTATAGTCAAGACTATAGACAAATCTATAGACAAGACTATAGTCTAATCTATGGTCAAGACTAAAGACTAATCTATATATAGACTAATCTATGGTCAAGACTAAAGACTAATCTATATATAGACTAATCTATAGTCAAGACTATAGACTAATCTATAGTCAAGACTACAGACTAATCTATAGTCAAATGTATAGACAATACTATAGACAAGACTATAGACTAATCTATAGTCAATACTATAGACTAATCTATAGTCAAGACTATAAACTAATCTATAGTCAGGACTATAGACTAATCTATAGTCACGACTATAGAATAATCTATAGTCAAGACTATAGAATAATCTATAGTCAAGACTATGGACTAATCTATAGTCAAGACTATAGACTAATCTATAGTCAAGACTATAGACAAATCTATAGACAAGACTATAGACAAATCTATAGACAAGACTATAGACTATAGTCTTGACTAGAGATTAGTCTATAGTCTTGTCTATAGACTAATCTATAGTCAAGACTATAGACAAATCTACAGTCAAGACTATAGACAAATCTATAGTCAAGACCATAGATAAATCTATAGACAAGACTTTAGACTAATCAATAGTCAAGACTATAGACAAATCTACAGTCAAGACTATAGACTAATATATAGTCGAGACTATAGACTAATCTATAGTCAAGACTATAGACTAATCTATAGTTAAGACTATGGACTAATCTATAGTCAAGACTATGGACTAATCTATAGTCAAGACTATAGACTAATTTATATACAAGACAATAGACTAATCTATAGTCAAGACTATAGATTTATCTATAGACAAGATTATAGACCAATCTCTGGTTAAGACTATAGACCAGTCTATAGTTAAGACTATATTATGTATACTAAATACTATAGACCAATCTATAGTCAAGACTAAAATCAATTTTCTTTTGTTGTTCAATTGACATGTTCTTCTTTAATCTCTTCAAAAGTTATTATTTCCTATGCTTTTGTATGTATGTGTGTAAAGGTCCTAAAATATTAACTAACCAGAGACGTATGTATACTAATATTTGCTCTAGAAAAATATTGATTAAATAAAATAACATTCCGCTTATTGCCCCTTTAAACGCTACTGATACTGTTAGCAATTGCTGTTATTATTCATTTTTCATTTCATTTTCGTTGACAGAATTTCAAATCACAAAATACTAGTGTTTGGTGGCATCGATCCTTATTGTTTGCATTGTCAACATGTGCAACAGCATCATCAGAAGCTGCAGCAGCAGCATCACCTACACCAACAGCAATCATACAGACTACAAAAACAACTAGAACGACTACAACGGAAACGTGTACTTTCAATTGATAGCATCATCATGAATACTCGTAGTCATACTCACTACTACTCTTCACATCCTTCACGTACACATCCGTTGCAAACTGAAACTCAATCGCACACCATCAACGTTGTTGCCAATAAAAATTTGGAAAATTTTGGCGACCATGTGTTGTTTTACGATATTGATGCCATGGAATGGCGACACTTATCCCATATACCATTTGGTTCGCGTCATCATCATGCAGTTGTTGTTTGCAATGGTCTAATTTATGTTATTGGTGGCACGAGGACAGCATGGGGTTGTACGAAAAAATCGGTTAGTATCTTTGCCTTTTTTTTCTCTTTTATTTCTTTATCTATGAGAATTCTTTTTAAATTTGTTAAACGTACAGTGGTATTAGTTGGTACTTAGTATAAAGTTTGCATAGGCAGGATTTAAAGGAATGATTTTGATTAACTTTAAAATTATCGCTTTTGAAATATCTTACGTTTTTTTTAGGTATTATATTAAATAGGCTCTTTTATTCACTTAATGTTCGATGTTTGGTGAAACTTGAATATTTCTGTAAAATTTCGATATTTTGGTGAAACTTTGATATTTAAGGAGAATTTTGATTTTTGGAGAAATTCCGATATTTCGTTCAAATTTTAAAATATATCTATATATTAATGATCAATGGAACTTATAACTGGTTTAAAGTAAAGTTTGCAACCGTTAACGTTAAGCTATCCTTACCGCTAAAATACTTATTCAGCACTACTGCCGTTACAGCTAAAATACCAATTACCGTTATCGCTAAAATACCGATACCTACATAAGCCTAAATACCAATACCGTGTACTACCTTTTCTGCCTGTAAGAAGAGAAAGTATGACAGGGAATGTGGAAAAGACAGAATAGAGAGGACAGAGAGGAATAGTGGTGAATCCGTCAAAGAGAAGAACCAGACATACATTTTCTTCATCCTCATTTGACAATTCCTACAGAAGTCGTTGAAAAGAAGACCAATGCGTCTAGCGTGTTTACCAAATCGCTTACCTAGTTTTAGTCTACGAATACCAAGAAGATAGTTAGACCTGCATGGGTGTATATGCGGCAGCAGCGGACTAGCTAATCGGTCACGAGCAATTGAATAGCATTTATCAATAATCTGTGTCTTTAAGCGTGGTTCCAAGTCTTGCCAAAGTGTCAGCAATGTTATTACCATACGTACTCTCGTGTGCCCTGACCCAAATTAGGGTGATGTTCGAATGTGTCGTTGAGAGACGTCCGGCATTCATGGAATGTTAGTTAGTAGGTTAGTTAGTTAGTTAATTAGTTAGTTAGTTAGTTAGTTAGTTAGTTAGTTAGTTAGTTAGTTAGTTAGTTAGTTAGTTAGTTAGTTAGTTAGTTAGTTAGTTAGTTAGTTAGTTAGTTAGTTAGTTAGTTAGTTAGTTAGTTAGTTAGTTAGTTAGTTAGTTAGTTAGTTAGTTAGTAGTTAGTTAGTTAGTTAGTAGTTAGTTAGTTAGTTAGTTAGTTAGTAGTTAGTTAGTTAGTTAGTTAGTTAGTTAGTTAGTTAGTTAGTTAGTTAGTTAGTTAGTTAGTTAGTTAGTTAGTTAGTTAGTTAGTTAGTTAGTTAGTTAGTTAGTTAGTTAGTTAGTTAGTTAGTTAGTTAGTTAGTTAGTTAGTTAGTTAGTTAGTTAGTAGTTAGTTAGTTAGTTAGTTAGTTAGTAGTTAGTTAGTTAGTTAGTTAGTTAGTTAGTTAGTTAGTTAGTTAGTTAGTTAGTTAGTTAGTTAGTAGTTAGTTAGTTAGTTAGTTAGTTAGTTAGTTAGTTAGTTAGTTAGTTAGTTAGTTAGTTAGTTAGTTAGTTAGTTAGTTAGTTAGTAGTTAGTTAGTTAGTTAGTTAGTTAGTTAGTTAGTTAGTTAGTTAGTTAGTTAGTTAGTTAGTTAGTTAGTTAGTTAGTTAGTTAGTTAGTTAGTTAGTTAGTTAGTTAGTTAGTTAGTTAGTTAGTTAGTTAGTTAGTTAGTTAGTTAGTTAGTTAGTTAGTTAGTTAGTTAGTTAGTTAGTTAGTTAGTTAGTTAGTTAGTTAGTTAGTTAGTTAGTTAGTTAGTTAGTTAGTTAGTTAGTAGTTAGTTAGTTAGTTAGTTAGTTAGTTAGTTAGTTAGTTAGTTAGTTAGTTAGTTAGTTAGTTAGTTAGTTAGTTAGTTAGTTAGTTAGTTAGTTAGTTAGTTAGTTAGTTAGTTAGTTAGTTAGTTAGTTAGTTAGTTAGTTAGTTAGTTAGTTAGTTAGTTAGTTAGTTAGTTAGTTAGTTAGTTAGTTAGTTAGTTAGTTAGTAGTTAGTTAGTTAGTTAGTTAGTTAGTTAGTTAGTTAGTTAGTTAGTTAGTTAGTTAGTTAGTTAGTTAGTTAGTTAGTTAGTTAGTTAGTTAGTTAGTTAGTTAGTAGTTAGTTAGTTAGTTAGTTAGTTAGTTAGTTAGTTAGTTAGTTAGTTAGTTAGTTAGTTAGTTAGTTAGTTAGTTAGTTAGTTAGTTAGTTAGTTAGTTAGTTAGTTAGTTAGTTAGTTAGTTAGTTAGTTAGTTAGTTAGTTAGTTAGTTAGTTAGTTAGTTAGTTAGTTAGTTAGTTAGTTAGTTAGTTAGTTAGTTAGTTAGTTAGTTAGTTAGTTAGTTAGTTAGTTAGTTAGTTAGTTAGTTAGTTAGTTAGTTAGTTAGTTAGTTAGTTAGTTAGTTAGTTAGTTAGTTAGTTAGTTAGTTAGTTAGTTAGTTAGTTAGTTAGTTAGTTAGTTAGTTAGTTAGTTAGTTAGTTAGTTAGTTAGTTAGTTAGTTAGTTAGTTAGTTAGTTAGTTAGTTAGTTAGTTAGTTAGTTAGTTAGTTAGTTAGTTAGTTAGTTAGTTAGTTAGTTAGTTAGTTAGTTAGTTAGTTAGTTAGTTCGTTCGTTCGTTCGTTCGTTCGTTCGTTCGTTCGTTCGTTCGTTCGTTCCGTATTCCAGTAAAGTTTATATATATCACTCTTTTACATTCTGTTTACAAAATATGTTCCAGTAGTTACTTCCCTTTATGTGTGTGTGTTCCATGCTTTATCTCTTTGGATCCTCTAGCCTATATACATACACGTTTTTCATTTCTATTTGAATCCCCTTCCTCACATGCAAGTTGTTTCTTTCCGTCTAAGGATATTATCATGTTTGCTGTCATATATTTGTTGCTGTTCTTCTGTTATGGATGTTATGTTTTCGTTATTTGAAAAGTTTTTTTCTTCTGCTTGAAGTTTTTTCTATTTTTCAATTTATTTGTTAAATTTTGTTTTTATTTTTATTGCTAATAATGTTATTAGCAATATGTACCAACTGTACCATTTGTTTGTTCAGTTTTTTTTTGGTAGCCATACATATGTTTTTTATGACTGTTTAATCTTCTTTAAGTCCTTAATAAATTTCTAAAAATTAAATTATTTTATACTCGTATATTATAGTCAGTAGACTTGTCCATAGACTATTCAATAGATTAGTCTATAGAAATGTCTATAGGCTGTACAATAGTCTAGTCCATTTACTATTTAAAAAACTTGTTAACAGACTATTCAATAGACTAGTCTATAGATTGTCTATTATTAGACTCATTGTTTATTATTAGACTAGTCAATAAACTAGTCCATTTACTAGTCCATAGACTATTCAATAAAATAGTCCATAAATTAGTTAATAGACTAGTCCACAGACAAGTCCATATTTAAAATAGTCTAAAAAATATTGAAAGGGCGGTCCATAGACTAGTCCATAAACTAGTCAATAGTCTAGTACATAGACTAGTGAATAGACTTGTCTATACATTAGTCGGTAGAGTAGTCCTTAGACTAGTCAGTAAAATAGTCCTTAAACTTGTCAATAGGCTAATTAATAAACTAGACTAGAATGAAGTTGGAATAAGGACTTTGTTACAATTCCCCCATATCATTTCCTCAAAATGTATAACTTAAATGAATGATAGTTGCAAGTGACATTAGTATATGGCACAATATGAAGGCTGATGAGGAGTCGTAGCGGACCTGAAAATGCATTCTATTCTGCTGTAGTATCAACAATATGTTGTAATTGTAACTATTCATTACAGTTTGGAAATAAATGTATCCGCAAGTGGGACTCGAACTCAAGCCTGTAGAATTTCCATACCTGATTCCCAAAATAAACTAAATAACCAACTCATGCCTTCATTAACTCTTCACAAATTGAACATTTTCATAAATAATTAACACGAAAATTGGTGTTCATTTTTCCCAATAGGTTTTTGAAAAATCCATTTGGTGTTTTAACCCTCAAACCGTTAAATGGACTTTAGAAACTAATTTGCCTGAATCGCGCAGAGATTTTGCCGTAATTGCCATAGATAATGAAACAAACACATTGTGTATTGAAATGCTAGAAGCACATGGCAAGGGGTTTTATGTCATTGGTGGTGAGGGGGTTAATGGCAATCCACTTAGTTCAGTGTGGTTTTACAATATCAAACGTAAAATATGGATAAAGGTATGTGTTCGTTCTTAATTAACATTTGTATAAAATTCAATTTTTTCAATTTCAATTTTTGGGCATTTTAAATAATTAAAAATTGCCTTCATTAGTAGAAAAATTTATAAATGATTTTTTTTTTTGTGTGTGGCCACTGGTTTATTTCCATTTGCTTCCACACTAAATATGGAAAAAAAAAAATATGTTTGTGTGTTTGTTGTTGAAAAAATAGAAACCTTCATTGAATATGGGACGTTATGGCTTAGCTGCTGCCATGGTAAATAACGAGATTTGGGTAGCAGGCGGTATAATCAATGACAATACTGTTGGCATTTGTGGCAACGGCAGCAGCCACCGAGAAACTATAAATGCTACAACAACAACAACAACAGCAGCAACAAAAACAACAACACATATAATCACCGATACAATAGAAATTTACAATTTAAAATGTACACATGGTGAAATATTGGCCAATAATCAAACAAAAGAATTCTCGAATTGTGGTAGTAGTCGTCGATGTAAAGAAGAAGAAGGAGGAGATGGTGAAAGCGATGAGGATGAAGTAGAAGTAGTTATTGGGGATTCTAATATAAATTGTGAAAATTTGAAAAGTAGACCGGAGAATGTTGCTGCTACTGTCAATGTTGATTGTAATGTAGGCCAATGGATTAAATCTAAGCTGCATTTACGTTTACCCCGGTAAGAGGATTATTGGTTATTCCCAGTTATTTGTGTTTTATTTTTCTTTTTATTTTTGCTTACTTTTCATTGAAAATGAAATGTAATGGATTTCATTTTTTTACTTCACAACGTAAACATATTTATAATCTATTAGTTTTGTTTTTGCAATGCGAAGATGCTAAGGAATTGATATTGAAATGTGGATTACTTGCTGTCCCAATAAGGATAAATAGATACTTAAGGGTATAATTTTAGTTGCCTAAGTTTGTCTTTTTATTTTATTTTTAAAAGTAGCAATTTATCAAGTACAGTTGGCTTCATGTCAGAAACCCAATCATTTTCGAAATACTACAAGTACCAGAGATTGATAACCAGAGATTGACAACTTTTATCATCCTTTCCTGTTTGTTGTCCCAAGTAGGGAGGTATGAACCGAATATTTCATTACCAATAAGTTCGAGTTCGAACATCGGTTCAATCCACTGTTCTTAACATTCCCACTTTCGCTGATTCCTAAACAACAATTAACAGAGTTATAGATTTACCTATCGATTACCGTAAACAGAATCTAAAGACTCTTCCAGCGTTCTGTTTACAAACAAATGAGGTGTTTAACCTTCTTAAATTTGTTCAATTGACAATATCAACGCCCTTAAATCAGTGGGTTATCTTGTAGAGTACATCATTTGAATAATTCCCATCAGAGTCATATCGATCTGTCCTTACAAATCAATTATACATACATATGTTTAACCCTACTTTCTACAGATCGAACGGTTAATTGAATCCATCACGAATATTCTAAATCTGTCACAATTCTCTCTCAACTCTCCCGATGAATCAATAAGGTGCTTCACCTTACTTTCCACTGATCTAACAGTAAATTGAATTCATCACGATTTCTCTAAGTGATAGTTCAGAGGTTTTTTATCTAAACTAAGTTCTGGACTAAGTTGTTCTAAAGAATTCAAAAGATATTTTGACTTCAATTACCAACACTCTTGGCCTAATATGCTTCGTTTTAATATACGTCATACGAATACTTCTTCCCCATCAGTTTCATTTCGATCATCCTTGGGGGAAACATTATTCAAATGCTTCTTTACATCAGTTTCATTTTGACTGTTGACAGTCACGCGATGGAGTCCATGCACAGGTTTCTTTGCATTCTTAATCATGGAGGCATGATTTTCATCACATTAGCTTTCTTTTCGCGAACCCTTAGAAGCACTAGCTGAAAAAAACACCAGAAAGAGTCACATATTGTCCATGAACATTATGACTCAGCAAAAAGTTTCAGTCCATAGGTTACCAAGAGTCCATATGTTAAAAAAGCTTAAACAGATGTTGGAAATACACAAGATATTATCGGCATTTCTTAACCTCCATGGATATTTTTATATAGGGAACCCAAAGATCAGTTTCATTTCCATATGCGTATCTCTTTATGGATTTCCTAACAGCGACTCTTAATTGAACTGGCTGGTAGGGTCGCTGTTAACTGAAACCCATTAAATACCTCACTCTATGATGTATTTCTTTCACAGTTCGCTCCGAAGATCTGGGTTCTTTGAAAGTTTGAACAACATTCTCCAATTCTTCATAACTTCTTTTACAGCATGCCAGGTAGGATCCAGGATCTTATCCAGGTGGGGCTGATATTTCCTAGTGTCGTTCTTTATCTTCTATATCATGCGATCTGCCAAATGAGACAGAGTATTTCCTTCACGTCGCCTTGTCGGTAAAGTTTAGACAGATCGACTAGAACCAAAATTATAATCATTACAAATTACAAAGAACAGACCGGTCCATGGTTTACTATTAAGAGTTTACACTTAAGAGTGGGAATTGATTTAGTACTTAGTTTATAGTCAATAGACTGTGCTATAGACAATCCCATAAATAAATCCAAAGATTAATGCATAGATAAGCTCTTAGACTTGACACGTCTATTGACTAGCCTAATCATTGACAAGTCTCTATACTTTTCTATGGACCAGTCTATTGATTATTCCATGAACAAGTCTGTTGACAACTCTAGGAGCTTGTCTATTAAATGGTTTATAAACTGGTCTATATATCTGATAGTTAATGGAGTAGTTTCCATATTAGTATGTGGACTAGTTTACTAACCAGTCTATAGACTAGTAATAGTTCATTAGATTAATATATTTACTAGTCTAAGGCGCAGTCTGTTGAATATTCTATAAGCTAGCCTATTGACTAGTCCGTATATTGATACATTGATTAATCTATATATTAATTAGTCTATTGAGTACTACTGAAAGAAATACAACAGTATTGAATTTTCCATCTCTGTGTTTTATTAAAAGTTTAGTTTGTTTGTTGTGAAAAATCATAACAAACAATGTCAATCTAGCGTTTTTAGAACAATTTTTAGTGGAGTGAAGAAAAATCATTTTTTCAATTGTTTGTTTTTGCTAAGATTCAGTAAAAGGCGCATTACTAACTTTGTTTATAAACAGAAACTTGTATTTGTTTTGCAAAATGGCGTTCGCGTACTTTTTATACCCTACACCACTATAGTGGGGAGGGTATTATACGTTTGTGCTGATGTTTGTAACACACAAAAATATTGGTCCTACACCCACCTTTAAGTATACCGATCGACTCAGAATCACATTTTTAGTCGATTAAGACATGTCCGTCCGTCCCTCTGTCCGGCTGGCTGGTTGGCTGGCTGTCTATGTAAACCTTGTGCGCAAGGTACAGACCGCAATTTTCAAGATAATTTGATGAAATTTGGACCAAGCATGTTTTTTGGCACAAGGACGAAGTCTATTGAAATCGGTCCATTATTTCACCTAGCCCCCATACAACCGTACCTTCCGATTTGGGCTTTTTATGCCATAATTACGTCAAATATGCTATTATCTCTCTAAAAATTGGCACAAGTTTTATATAAGTATAAATGACACTGCAGATTTTCGTAATGATCGGCCCTTATTTGACCCTAGCCCCCATACAAACCCCCCATCAAAAAATGTCTTAAACGTCTAAAATTGACTTGTAACCATTTGTATCGCAATGAAACTCAACATAATTAACTATTATTTAACAATATATCCTTTTCCCAAATTTAATGAGGATCGGCCCATGTTTGACCTATTCTCCTATATAAAGCCTCATTTAGAAAATTTGTTTTTATCAATAAATTTCTTAAATACTTTGGAATTAATTTAAAATTCAACATAAAAGTTTCTTTGTGAAAAATTAAAATTTTTAAAATATACTCATGGTGTAGGGTATTATATGGTCGGCCATGCCCGACTATACTTTCCTACTTGTTAGAATGTTGTTTTGCTTGAGAGCAATTAAAAATTACTCTTTATCATAAAGTTACTGCATATTTTTTCTGGAAAGTACGCGAACACACCTAATATCTAATTTAAGACAAATTTCGATTAATTCTTTATCCAGCTGACAGGACACATAAAAAATACCAAACTTTACAACATTTTACAAGAATGTCCTCAAAAATTTTAAAGTAATTTTTATACAAAGCACGAAACTGTTATGATCAAATTATAAGGTTTCATTATTTTCTTTTGTGTTAAAGATTCCATATTATCAAAGCTAATAATATAACATTTTATGTTTTAAAATAAAAATTTTTATTGAGTTTTCTTATCAAAACTTTAATGAAACTGTCTGCCAAGCTGGAAAAGAAATAATATTCCGTTATGCTTTATTTTTGTGAGTTTTTTTTTTTGTTGTTTTGCAGACTTTTTGGCAAATTTTGTAAAATGTCAAATGGACAATTGTATTTGGTGGGTGGTATTGGTTTTAATGACCACCTCAATGAGCTGACATCCTTGACGGATATTGATGTGTTTAATGAGGAACAGCATAAATGGGAACATGTTGGTGACCTAAATTTGGCCAGGTATGTATGTTCAAGAGTTTTTTATACGTATAGAATACGTCATTAAACACAGGAAAATAAAAATCATTAAAAGCAACCCACTAAAGGTTACTTTCAGGCTACACAACAAAAACATGAGTAAAGCAGCATAAAAACATTAAAAAGTCATTAATTAAACGTTTATTTTTTTTCGTTAAACATTTTTTGTATGCTTTGTTTTTTTTCCTTTGCATAAACAAATGTTATTGTTGTTTGTGTTATTGTCATTGCATGTTATAGACATGGTCATGATGTTGCCACACTTAATGACCATTGTATTGTTGTTATTGGCGGAGTGTCAACATTTGAGAAATGTACTTTAAATAAAGTGGAAACTTTTTGCACAAAAACACGCAAGTCTCTTAAGAATCTACCGGATTTACCATGGCCAGTGTCCGGATGTGCGGCAGTAACAATAGATTGATGTCAAAACAATTGGGAAAAAAATGAAATATGTTTTTCTTGTTTTTGTAGTTTTTGAATTGTTTTGTAACAAAACTTTAGTTTTTCTTTGTTGTTTTGTCGTTAAATGTACTATTTCAATTGTTGTTGTGTAGAGAAATATTTCTTAAATTAAATTTTTATGTTTTAATAATAAGTTTTTCTTTTCCGTTAAATAATTTAGAATATGCGTATAGAAAGAGGAAAGTTTTTAATATGTGTTCCTACTTATTTCGAACTTTTCTTGTTTCATTCTTTCTGTCCTATTAAACTTCTGCACAGTGTGAGTTTGGTGGTTTCATCCAGGTACTTTAGTACTTTTTACTCTAGTCTATAGTCTAGTCTATAGTCTAGTCTATAGTCTAGTCTATAGTCTAGTCTATAGTCTAGTCTATAGTCTAGTCTATAGTCTAGTCTATAGTCTAGTCTATAGTCTAGTCTATAGTCTAGTCTATAGTCTAGTCTATAGTCTAGTCTATAGTCTAGTCTATAGTCTAGTCTATAGTCTAGTCTATAGTCTAGTCTAGTCTAGTCTATAGTCTAGTCTATAGTCTAGTCTATAGTCTAGTCTATAGTCTAGTCTATAGTCTAGTCTATAGTCTAGTCTATAGTCTAGTCTATAGTCTAGTCTATAGTCTAGTCTATAGTCTAGTCTATAGTCTAGTCTATAGTCTAGTCTATAGTCTAGTCTATAGTCTAGTCTATAGTCTAGTCTATAGTCTAGTCTATAGTCTAGTCTATAGTCTAGTCTATAGTCTAGTCTATAGTCTAGTCTATAGTCTAGTCTATAGTCTAGTCTATAGTCTAGTCTATAGTCTAGTCTCTAGTCTATAGTCTAGTCTATAGTCTGTCTATAGTCTAGTCTATAGTCTAGTCTATAGTCTAGTCTATAGTCTAGTCTATAGTCTAGTCTATAGTCTAGTCTATAGTCTAGTATAGTCTAGTCTATAGTCTAGTCTATAGTCTAGTCTATAGTCTAGTCTATAGTCTAGTCTATAGTCGTCTATAGTCTAGTCTATAGTCTAGTCTATAGTCTAGTCTATAGTTAGTCTATAGTCTAGTCTATAGTCTAGTCTATAGTCTAGTCTATAGTCTAGTCTATAGTCTAGTCTATAGTCTTTTTTAGTCTATAGTCTAGTCTTATAGTCTAGTCTCTAGTCTAGTCTATATGTCTAATAGTCTATTAGTTCTATTCTATAGTTCGCTATGTCTAGTCTAAGTCATGTCTATAGTTAGTCTTAGGTCTAGTCATAGTCTAGTCTATAGTCTAGGTCTATAGTCTAGTCTATAGTCTAGTCTAAGTAGTCTATGTTATAGTCTATATCTAGCTATAGTCTAGTCTATAGTCTAGTCTTAGTCTAGTCTAGTAGGTCTATAGTCTAGTCTATAGTCTAGTCTATAGTCTAGTCTATAGGTTCTAAGTCTATAGTCTAGTCTATAGTCTAGTCTATAGTCTAGTCTATAGTCTAGCTTCTAGTCTAGTCTATAGTCTAGTCTATAGTCTAGGTCTATAGGTCTAGTTCTATAGTCTAGTCTATAGTCTAGTCTATAGTCTAGTCTTATAGTCTAGTCTATAGTCTAGTCTATAGTCTAGTGCTATAGTCTAGTCTCTCGTCTAGCTCTAGTCTAAGTCTATAGTCTAGTCTTAGTCTATCTAGTAGTCTAGTCGATAGTCTAGTCTATAGTCTAGTCTATAGTCTAGTCTATAGTCTAGTCTATAGTCAGTCTATAGTCTAGTCTATAGTCTAGTCTATAGTCTAGTCTATAGTCCTAGTCTATAGTCTAGTCCTATAGTCCTAGTCTATAGTCTAGTCTATAGTCTAGTCTATAGTCTAGTCTATAGTCTAGTCTATAGTCTAGTCTATAGTCTAGTCTATAGTCTAGTCTATAGTCTAGTCTATAGTCTAGTCTATAGTCTAGTCTATAGTCTAGTCTATAGTCTAGTCTATAGTCTAGTCTATAGTCTAGTCTATAGTCTAGTCTATAGTCTAGTCTATAGTCTAGTCTATAGTCTAGTCTATAGTCTAGTCTATAGTCTAGTCTTAGTCTAGTCTATAGTCTAGTCTATAGTCTAGTCTATAGTCTAGTCTTAGTCTAGTCTATAGTCTAGTCTATAGTCTAGTCTAGTCTAGTCTAGTCTAGTAGTCTAGTCTATAGTCTAGTCTATAGTCTAGTCTATAGTCTATTCTATAGTCTAGTCTTAGTCTAGTCTAGTAGTCTAGTCTAGTCTAGTCTAGTCTATAGTCTAGTCTATAGTCTATAGTCTAGTCTATAGTCTAGTCTATAGTCTAGTCTATAGTCTAGTCTATAGTCTAGTCTATAGTCTAGTCTATAGTCTAGTCTATAGTCTATAGTCTAGTCTATAGTCTATAGTCAGTCTATCGTCTATAGTCTAGTCTATAGTCTAGTCTATAGTCTAGTCTATAGTCTAGTCTATAGTCTAGTCTATAGTCTAGTCTATAGTCTAGTCTAGTCTAGTCTATAGTCTAGTCTATAGTCTAGTCTATAGTCTAGTCTATAGTCTAGTCTATAGTCTAGTCTATAGTCTAGTCTATAGTCTAGTCTAGTCTAGTCTATAGTCTAGTCTATAGTCTAGTCTATAGTCTAGTCTATAGTCTAGTCTATAGTCTAGTCTATAGTCTAGTCTATAGTCTAGTCTATAGTCTAGTCTATAGTAGTCTATAGTCTAGTCTATAGTCTAGTCTATAGTCTAGTCTATAGTCTAGTCTATAGTCTAGTCTATAGTCTAGTCTATAGTC